GCCCCGATGAGGAGGAGAATGATTGAATTTGATCAAGATTATCGGTAAAAGAACTTAGATCAGAGTAAAAAGAACTGGGTTGGCACAATACGACATCATCTGCATATTTCAAAATTCGTGCGGGAGAAACACAGTGAATATCACAAATATAAGTGGCAAATAAGTATGGGGATAGCACAGCTCCTTGAAGGATCCCGGAGTTGTTGACTAAGGGTTTCGATATGGCCTTCCCCAATCTAGTGGTTTGTACCCTATCGGTAAAATAGTTGGATAGCCAAGCTAACAACTGCTTGGGACATTCAAACGATTCCAGTTTTTGTAACAACTTAGATCGAGGAATGCAATCAAATACAGAAGAGTAGTCGAGAAAAACACACCGAACCGACTTAACAGAGTTGTTCAACGATTTAGTGATGAAATGAATGAGGGTAGAGACTGCACCATTTCAAGGCTTCCGGCTAAAGTAGAATTTATTCCTTATGTTCCCACTCTAAATAATAAGTTCAGGGAACATTGCTGACCCCTGAAACCGCAGTCGGCCGGATTGTCACAGGATGTTACGTTCCGCCATTGGCACAACTCAGTTTCTTGGGGGATGATAGCTAGCTAGTTGGCAATAAATGTACTGAAGCGCGTCCGTACATTGTTAACATAGTGAAGAACTATGGTGGAATCAGTCTAGTGAGTCAAGTTCCATTCAATCGAGTGAAAACACCTGTTTAGCATCTTCGCCAGCCTCATGGCTAATACTACTGCGACCGGTTCTAGCCTGGGTATTGAGACTGCCTTTGAGACAGGGGTGACTCTGGCCCTCGCGAATGGTATATTGCTATGCTGCTTCAACCTGGCCGAGACGAGGAACTGTAGGTTACTACCCCGTATCCAACCACCGACGCGTCCGCAGAAACGTGCAACTCACTTGCCTCCCCTCGGCGTATTCCTGGTATCAGACGAAAAAGCCGTATTGTAACGACCAAAACGCGATTGTCCTGGTCCCAGAGAAACGAAAAGGACCTCGTCTGTACACGTTCAATCGAATGACCCCTTCGCTCGTTCTGGATAGCGATAAACAAATCTCAGAGCAATGCGTAGACCAAATTATCCATAACCATGTCGATCCAAAAGTAATATATGTAATATTTTTGCATTAGTCACAAATGCATAAGGCAGTCATATCTCTGATAGTGAGCCTGATTCACTATCCACCCAAACCGTTACAAATGTTCACAGAAAATATCTGCGGTAATAAAAAGTAAATAAGAAAATAAATGATTTGAATTACCTTTCAGATAATTCTGGACCAATAAGAAAATTCTGCACGTTTCAACAGATCAAGCAAAATAATCTTAAGCGTTACAGCCAAAAGGGGTTCAATATAACCGAAAGCAACGGTTAGTTCAACAACGAGCGTCCAATCAAAACTTTGGTTGCAATAAAACAAGAAAAAGCACTGAATCCCATTTACACGTAAGAGCAAAGCACTTGAAGTGTGTCTGATAGATATGCTACACCGTCAAAAGGTGAAATAGAAGGTTCAGAAGAGAAAATTCACTGACATGAAAGCCAATGTCGGAAAGAATGCACGACAGAATGGCGAAGAAAAATAAGGAAATGCAAGGTAATTGAGAACAATGTTCAGTCCTTCTGACTGTTACAGTATATCGCCCAGTTTGAACAGGCTTATCCACCAGCCTTGCCATATCTTGTGATCCGCTTTGCAAAGGGTCTCATCCCAAGTTACCTCTTTTCTACACAAGTCCTGCAGCAGAATCTCGCCCGTCAGTAGCCACGAAGCGATGAACCCCATTGGATCGTAAAGGCTGGTCAACGAAGATAGAATCCCTTTGCTGGTCGCCGTCTTTTCGGGTAACTGAAGTTGGAACAAAACCTCATCTTTCTCCGAGTCCCACTGCATACCAAATGCTCTATCTGTTGGTAATGGACTTCTCCACAAATCACGGAGACACGGTGACCGATCATCAACCGGGATGCAATCGATTGCTTGACGACTGTTAGACATCCACTTGGTCAACTTGAACGCTCCCATGAGCAGTAACTTAGATGAGTCGCTAATGTGTCAAAACTGTCTCTTCGATACTATCAAAGGACCCCAGGAAATCGTCTACATCAAAGTTATGTTTAACACAGGAGTCAACCGCGGTTTGGAAACGCTGAGCAAATTGATTCACGGTCGTTTTCAAAGCAAAGTTTGCACAGAAGGGAGAGGATATCACGCCAAACGGACGGACCGTCATCAAATATTCCTGGGCAGGTCCATCTAGCTCTCCTTCTAACCACCACCACAACCGTAAAGCGTCCTTTTGCCTTTCGAGGACTTTAACTTGCATGAACATCTGAATATCAGCCGCTATCGCAATTGACTCTAGACGAAATCTGCACAGCATCTCAATCAGCGGGGTCGTCAGATCTGGGCCCTGTGGTATACAGTCGTTTAGGGCAAGCCCGTCACACTAAGTAGCACAATCGAACACAACCCTGGTCTTCTGAGGTTTCTTAGGGTTTATAACTGGATGTTGCGGAGGGTACCATAACGGTTGCTCTTTGTCAGCTTCATTCAATATTGCCCAATTCTAGATTTCGTTTCATGGCACTACAATAGGCTTTCTTTAACTATGCGTTTCTTTCCAGTCGTCCCTTCAGATAGTTGAATCTATGGAGAGCTGCCCCTCGATTATCGGGTGGTCAATTTAATTCCGTTCCGCAGGATAACGGCACTTCAAACTGGATTCCATTGTGTCATGTCATTTCGGTGACGATACTCGGTCTTCCCTCGACATAGATACTCAATCATCTGCTATATCCTCGAACTCGTGGTTATATAGTCGTTCCGGGTCGTCAGCTATTAAATTATTTGGCCGCGAGGTGTAGTTTATTGAGGCTGAGTAGTTACCATCATTGATAAGCGGTCCGCAGAGTATCCAACCGAAAATCGTACACGCTGTGTACGGATCTCTACGGCCTCCTATCCATTGGTCCGAAACCCCATGCGCCTCGGATACGTCACAGCCAAGCAATATGTCCACTCGGGTGTCCGGAACATCCTCAAACGGCAAATCATGGAGGTGAGGCCAGTGCCGCGCTAATAACCTGATACCTTTTGAAGCTCTCATTGGTAAGTTTGCGATAGTAAATGCCTGGTGCACCTCTATCGTATCTTCCCCCGATGCGGAAGCCAACTTCAGACTCAGTTCTGAAGCTCGAACTGTTTTCACCCCAATAATCGGTCTAAGTACCAGTGGAGTTTTCTATCCTCCCAAATGGTGTTGGTGCGCGAAGCTCTCCATCACAAATGTGGTATCCGATCCATGGCTTGGACCAAACAACGCGGAGTCTCTACTTGGACGGGTATTATTACCAAGCGGACCGGGCCACTTGACACCAGTCCGATAGTGCAGACGGATTTCGGTATATCCTCCACAGTCTTTGTGGGTTATATTGACCCGGCCATTATCCGTTCGTGGCTCGACCCTTACATCGTTGTGTAGTAAAGGGTAATCTCAATCACTGCAATTATCCTGACCACATTTGGTTGAGTCTGCATAAGGCTGTTCTGTGGGTATCACTCAGGCACACAAAGCAAGACCCTGTCTTCTTAACTATTGTCCAACGGTCCGTAACCTTCATTGCCAAAAAGCTTAAACCTTGGGGACACCTGAGCACAGTTTGCACTTGATCGGTTTGTGTGGCTCATATGAGACTAGATTGGTGCTTGCCCAATTGTAAGCAGGATGGAGACCTTAAGATCCAGATGGCGCGAAAATGGTTCAAGGTCTGGCGGTTCTGATGCTTTCTTTTGCTAGTTGAACAAATCTACTGTTTGCTATGCGAGATTGGCGGCTTATGAATTCAGTGATTTCGTCAAAAGTTGATTCTCTGTTCCTTTTTTGATTCGATTGGCCTCGGTCACCCAGGATGCCTGCAGTTCGGTAGGCAAACATCTGACTATCGATTCCAGCGTAGGTAATGCATCCAAGTCCGAGAGATAATCGAGATGGTTGAGGGCGATTCTGCAGTTCTGCATCTTGATGACTAAGTTTGATAGAGACCTAGTTGCGCCTCGTGTGCGTCTCGCCTCTGCCAGATTCTTTATTCGGAGAGTAGCTACCATGGGCAATCTCACTTCGAGGCGTTGTTGTACCGTTGAAATCCGTCCTTTCACAATTTGCCCGTTCTATCTACTGTTTAGCTAACCTTAACTCATGCTCTAATTCAGAAACCAGTGGTCTAAACATATCGAAATCCTTAACATCTGAATTTGCCCATGGAACAGCACTGATTAAAAGAACAGACCGAATATTTTCTACTGAATCAAAATGACCAACAGCACCCCAGAGAATTGTCGGGTTCCACTTTCCTTGCTTCCTCGTGTGGACATCTTTGAAATAGTTTTCTCGTTTAAGTCCAACTTGAGTACTGTACGTCAACCAAATCGCAATTGAGTGGTCCATTGCTCTTTGTGGTTTACGTGAACGACCTGCCTGGTCAACTGTGCAGCCCATCCCTCATGTATGCGAATGACATCAAAATCTGGCGTACAATCGAGGATCTAAATGATCAAAGTTCTCTTCAAGCGGATTTTAACAACCTGCCTCAGTTGGCGGACACCTGGGCTCTTCCAGTCAACACCGCAAAGTATGCTCACCCAGAGATAGTCTACAACTTCCAGGGAACCAAATTGCGCAGAACATCGTGCAAAAGAGACCTGGGAGCTATGGTTATGTCATCACTAAAGACTCAAGAGAACACCGATCGGGTCTTTGCCAGCGCATGGAGCATTCTTGGGTCTATTTGGTGGTCTTTCAACCGGCTCACGATGGACGCTTTCAGACTGCTGAACGTTTCCCATGTCAGACCAAGAATTAAATATGGTGGTGCGGCGAGATACCCCTGCATAGCCGGTGAACTGGCTAAGTTGGAGTGTGTACAACGTGCTGCCACTAGACTCGTTGAACTACGCGGGATCAGCTATGAAGGTCGTCTACAGGCTACTGGTCTGTTCCCATTTGCATATTGGTGCCTCAGGGAAGATCTCATCTGTCTAAGGAAGATTTTGAGAGGTGATATGGGTCCGGAGCTGCAGCAGTACTTCCCTTTACGGACAGAGGACCTCACGCGGGGGCATTTTCTCACATTGCGGACACTTCAGTCAGTTAGTCTGCCGTTAGTCTGCCGACTCTCGCGGAGGTCAACAACACTGGAATTCTTTTCTTGTGATCGTGATGGAGGAGAAAACAGACGCTGATTTCAAACGGTATTTGGATGAGCACCTGAAGGGGCTATGGAAGAACGAACTCGTGATCGGACCTTCAACCCGCTAGTGATGGGGCTCACAAGGGCACCCTACCCTCTGCCCTCAATACTGAAGACTGAAGACTGAGTGACGCGTAGACGAAATTGATATAAATCCCAAAACACGATTGATTCGTATTGTTCTACGGTACTGAATAGTGGAAATCATTAAAAAATGTACAGTAGAGCAAACATCAAATTCGTGGCCAAAGACACGCAAGCAAGTGAGAGCCAAATATGATGTACAGAGAGAGCCAAACAGTCGCTCACGTTCTCTGATCACGCCAAATTGAAATGTGGCAGTTGTCGAATCAACAGATAAAGAATAATATGATATGTTTGTGATTTAGAAAGGTCGATAGAGTAGCAACACCTGAATAGAGTTATGTCACATAGGATCATCGTGGGTTAGGAAGGATTTTCAAAAATTCAACATTGATTATAGCGCCTCGGCTGATCTGTCTTCCACTCTCCTAAAGTATTTTTTCATTTGGTTGCGGTCGTACATGTCAAACATCCACATGGTCGGTGTTGGTCAGCCGCGACCGTATTTGCTCTTCATAGCAAAACTTTCATCTGTTTCGACAATAACACCTCCACCTCGCAGTGGCGTCGCCAGAGAACAGATTACTGAGGTTTCACATTTGACTCAGAGTTATTTGTAGGTAGTAGTGTAGAATAATTGATTTTTATTGATTTCAGCTGGCTATCCTTCCGAGCCCATCTTCATGCACAATCCTAAATTCATCGATTCAACCACACACTCGGAAGAATCAGACTCAAGTTTCGTTCTTCTTAGAGCTCATCAGTAGTGCATATCCACCGTCCCGTCTGGGATTTGAACTCCAGACCCATTGCATGGAAGGCGTGTGTGTTACCGTTGTGCCAACGAGCTCATACCATGGCTGAACCAAATTACCAATTCATGTTTGTTCAGATGTCTTCAGGGATAGTCGGTTCATTTTCGCCCGACAGCAACGAAGGGAGACACAGATGACATACTGTTAACTCCAATCGAAAGCATTCCACCAAGTCAGGATTTCCATGCAGGTACGGACTGATTCGCTAATGAACCTACAAGGCTGAATTGATATTTTGTACTTCACTCACAGAGAACTGTGAGTGATGGTGATAAACAGATATTACCAGACATTATCACAGATTTCAGCACTTCCTTGCAATGTTAATCATTGCAAAAGCACAGATAACCGACTCCTCCATGAGGAACTAAATTACTAATTCAATCAAAATCGATAGCGGAAGCTTTGACTTCACGAAAAATGTTCCCGACCGCATGGAAAATGGCGTTTTGTAAGTCACAACGAAAAACGAAACCATCTCAGTTCCGAAAAATTCCTGTATATGCATTACACGGCCGCATGAACACCTACGTTCCTTCTGTAACAACCTCCGGTCTTGCATGTATTACTCACACAAGCTTCCTTTAGAGTTTCATGCAGTATACGGTATATATTAGAATCTTCCGACATGAACTCAGGGTCAAAATCAAAACAAAAGAGGCAAACAAACATTTTTAGGTAAATAAAAAGGACCGATACTCGCAAGAAGCTCGCATAGACGGGCTGTGTTATATCGTGTAAATTCGAAATGAGAAACGGTTTGATCAGCTGCCCGGTGGCCGAGTGGGTATGCTTACGATCTATCTGTGTGGTCCCGGGTACGAACCTCAGTTGGGCCAGTGAAATCGCACTGCTGACCAGACCCAATCAGGTGGAA